TTTGCAGATGACATGATACTGTATAAAGAAGACCCCAAGAACTCCACCAAAACTCTTCTAGACTTAATCACCAAATTCAGTAAAGTAGCTGGTTACAAGGTCAACACACAAAAATCAATAGCTTTCCTCTACACCAACACAGACTCACTGAGAGAAAAATGGGGCAAACAATTCCTTTCACGATAGTATCCAAAAAATTGAAATACCTAGGAATCAAACTAACAAAAGAAATCAAAGGCCTCTACTCTGAAAACTATGGTACTCTGAAAAGAGAGATTGAAGATGATATCAGAAAATGCAAAGACGTCTCTTTCTCCTGGGTAGGAAGAACCAATATAGTGAAAATGGCCGTACTTCCAAAACTGCTATATAGATTCAATGCAATCCCAATTGAAATCCCACCAGCATACTTCACAGACCTGGAGAAAACAATCCAAAAATTCATTTGGAACAAGAATAGACCTAGAATAGCAAAAGCAATTCTAGGAAATAAAGACAAGGTAGGGGGTATCACAATCCCCAACTTTAAACTATACTACAAAACTACTGTGATAAAAACAGCATGGCACTGGCAAAGAAACAGACCTGAGGACCAGTAGAACAGATTAGAAGATGCTGAAACAACTCCAGACACATTCAGCCACCTCATCTTTGACAAAGGAGGCAAACACCATCACTGGAGGAAAGATAGCCTCTTTAATGAATGGTGCTGGAAAAACTGGGTTTCAACTTGCCTAAGATTAAAACTAGACCTATATTTCTCACCATGCACTAAACTAAAATTGAAATGGATTAAGGATCTAAATATTAAAACAGAAACACTAAATTGGCTGGAAGAGAGGTTAGGTAGAACTCTGGAAGACATTGGTATAGGAAAAGATTTAATGAACGAAAGCTCAGTTGCCCGTGAACTAGCACAAACAATCAACAAGTGGGATCTCTTCTTATTAAAAAGCTTCTGCACAGCAAGACAAATCACCAACAGTGTGAAGAGACAACCCACAATGTGGGGAAAAATTTTCACCAGCAGTTCCTCAGACAAAGGTCTACTATCTAGAATCTATAAAGAACTTTAAAAAATCAGACCTCCCAAATTTAAAGACCCAATCCAAAAATGGGCAACTGAAATGAACAGACATTTCTCAGACAAAAAAGTAGAAATAGCAAATA